CTCAGTTTTCTGAGTCAAGAGTCTGTTTTTTTGCTATGCTTTTCTGTTTCTCGTGGCAATATTTAATTTGTTCCCAATTCCTCACAACTTTATACCTTATATACTTTTCAAGTCTGTTCACTTCAGTCAGTTCCTTGATCCAGTCACGATGACTATTTGGTTTGGTTTTGCAACTGACGACTAACTTTCATTCTGGCCTCCAGTCTTTTCTACTGCTCTCTGTTCCTTGTATTTATAAACTTTTACAGATGCAAACTTCATTCTTATAGTCCCTTGATTAAACCTTCAGTGTCTTCTCATTGTCCTGAAGATACATTCCATGTTCTTTAATGAGGCTGACGTAACTCTTGAAAATCTAGTTCCTTCTTCTTAGATCAGTTTGGTCTCTTGTGATATTCTTCATATAGTGTCTATATTGCAGACATTCCAAACTGCCTTAGTTGTTCAGATTGTGGGCCAGCATTATATACACACTTTATTCTCTGCTCACTTAAAAAATTTATTAAATTTATTGGTGTGGAATTGGTTAATAAGGTCGTATAGGTTTCAAGTGCACATCACTGTGATACGTGATCTCTGTATTGAACCGTGTGCCCACCACCCACAGTCAAATCATCTTCCATCACCATATATTTGCCCCCCTTTACCTTCTACCATGCCACTCCCACCCCCTTCCCTTCGGTAATCACCATACTGTTGTCTGTGTTTCTGACTTTCCATTTTATATCCCATAGAGGAGTGAAAGCATATGGCTCTTAGTCCTTTCTGACTGATTCACTTAGCATGAAATTCTTAAGGTCAAACCATGTTGTCACGAATGGCAGTATTTCATCTTTTCTTATGGCTAAGTGGTCTTTTGCCACCACTTCCTTTGCCTGACTTTCTTTTTGTTTAACATTCTGTACTCTGTTAAATCACTTCCTCTTAGAGGTTTTCATGACTTTTCAGGCCAGGTTAATAGTCTCTCATATGTACCTTTTTGTATTCTCCAATTGCTTTATTATAGCACTTGCCACACTGTGTTGTGACCAATTGTTAACATGTCTGTAACACATCCTAACCCTGAAAATGTTATTTTTAAGCAATAATATTTTTATTTTATACCCAGCTTAATCACGTACTTCTAATAGTATCTAATAGAAAGAAGATGGTCAATAACTCTGTTAAATTATTAATTAAATAAAACTTATAGTTATATACTATGTTATGTGTAATATTAGAAATTTTAACTCAACTGAGAGTTCAGATAATCATGACCCAAACTAAAAATGTTCACAATACAACAAGTTAAAAAAAAGAGCAACATGCTAAATAGGTTACATAGTGATAAATGACTTCTATATTCATGTCACTTATAGATTATATGTTTACAGAGAAAAAGATACACAAATCTTATATGCCGAAAAGTTAACTGTAGTTACATCTATGAGGTGATATCATGGTCCTTACTCTTCCCTTCTTTCTTCCCTTCCTTCCTTACTTCATCTTTTATCCCTCTCTCTTTCCTTTCCTTTCTTCCTTCTTTTCTATTTATCCTTTACATTGTGCATTATATTCTATTTTGAGAAAACTGATTTCAATCTCATGTATATATTTATTGCTATTTTATAATTTTTTGTTTGTCAGTATTTCCATATTAACTTTTCATATTGGTAGTCCTATAACTTGTGCCCATGTGAATATGAATTATTCCTAATTATTTACCACTAAAAATAATCCCACATTTTTGGGGAGAAATGTCTTAGTGTCGTATATTCCACAGGTGAATTAATTTGTTAGTAAGTTTGAAATACTTTTTAATTGAAAACAATTTGTCCTCAAAAAAGGATAAAAACAATTTATAAAATCATTATCTAATTTTAAGTAAAAATCTCGACAATTTTCCTTCTATATGAATGTTACATAGCAAGTCTTCAGTTTTAACTGGAAATTCTTTTTTTTTTATTATCAACACTATCACAGATGTCTCCCATTCTCCCCACTCATTTGCCCCCTTGTACCCAGCCCTCACTCCCCAATCCCTTGGCCTTGATCACACTATTGTAAATTTAAAAATGATCACTTTAAAATATTTTTTGTTATTCAATATTTTATCCATTATCTGTTTTGATCCTATAACAATAAATTTAGCAGCTGATATTGTTTTTATCTTCATATTGTGACAGAAACAGGCATGCATAAGTGGAGTAAACTATCTGGGACCTGATATAGCAGATGTTAGACCTGGGGTTCACATTCATGTTAAGCTCCACGGAATCCATGCTCTTTAACACAACAGCTGCGACACAGTGAATGCAGCAGTCTGATGAGAGGTTATGAATTCTCTCGACTTAATTATGGTATTTGGTATATAGAATACTGACTCAAAATTCGCTATAGGAACTTTGTGATAATTTAGGAGCAACTAAAATCATCAAATGGGAGGTAAGTATGTTTAAATCAAAGATGAGGGAAGAGACATTGAGACCTGTGGATCAGACTAGCCCTGTGTCTCTATGATACATCAAAATATACAGGAAAATCAAAGTGGACCCTGATTTAAGATTTTTTTAAGAAATATTTTTAATTGAAGGTAATATCTATCTGGGCATTAATAGCACCTTTCTAGTCTTTTGTCATTAAGCATACTTATGGCTCTTAGATTTAAACAAATTATTAAGTGGTATGAATGAATCATAAACTCGAAACCATTTTCTGCGTAATTAAAAATTGTAAAGTTATCATTGCAGTTATTTGAAACATATGTTCAACTATCCATAGCTCTAACTCTATCACAGCTATCAGCTGTGTGTTGTAATTCTCACTTATCAATTGCTCCCTCAAATTCATTATTAGCATTGAGATGAGAACTCAGGTCTTTAAGCTTGTGGAAAGAAAAAAGATGATACGCTAATGCTTACAATTTAGTATTACTTTTTCCCTGTTGTTCAATCGTTAAGTAGACTTCAAACTCAGGAACGTTTTATTTAATAGATAAGCTCCTGAAAGCCCACACATACTCCAAAGCCATTCTGTGACAAGAAGCATGTATGTTTTTCACTAGGCTGCATTGTCTTCTGGGCTCATTGTGTTATAAGCTACAAGTTAATCAACAAGAAGCAACTTACCCAAGGTTTGCTGGTATAACTGCATAAGATCCTTGTCCCTGGAAAAAATGATCTAATGTTTCAATTATTTTGACTATATTTATTTTGAATGAGTGATGTCCTCCTGGGATTATATTCTTGAATCAGATTATTATTATATTTTAAAGAAAACTAAAAAGAATATAATGAAGTCTCATAGGTATAAAAACAAGCAGTTCTCTCAAACAGTCTTTTGAGACCAAACCAGACTTCTAGGTAAGTAGAAAGACATGTTAAATTAATGATATAAATAAAGTTAAGATGTAGTACTATTCTCTTTAATGAAGATAATTTGTTACTTGTATAAATATGAAAAAGTTTTATACTGTCTTATTTTTTCAAGACACTAACAAATCAGAAAAAATATTCAGACTATGTATGTTTGTATAGTCTGGGATATTGTTGATGCAACCAGAGGATTTTGAACTTGGGGTTTTGCAGGAGTAAAGAGTCTGAACATTGGTCCCTGTTCTGTCTGTAACTAATTAAATATTCAGGTAATGGCTTTTTGTGCATTCTTTCATTTGAGAAATTAGGAAATTGGCATACATTCTTATGAACTTAAGACTGTTTTTCTTAATACATTTTACATTAAAAAATGAGGTTATGGTCATAAATCCTTATGGTTACTGTTACTTTTAGAAATTTTATTCTAAAAGAACATCTTTATAAAATATTAAGATTAGACAAGGACTTGAAAACAACAAAAGTATCCTTTGAAAGATGATTGGATAAAAGAGATATGACATCTATATATATGTAATGTCTGTCCAGAGGGTATCCAGCCATATGTTATGAAAAATAGAGACATGTATTGAAGAGGATCCATGATACAAGAAACATTGTACATAGGATAATGACACCTCAGTTCCCTTCAGAGTAGGCACATTGGGACCTCACACGGTTTTTCCAATCACCATTAGCTGCCTCATCATATTTTCCCGAATCTATTCAATGGTCTGAAATTTCTTCCTGTTCACAGGTGATTTCAATTTTGGAAAAAGCCAGAAATCATAGGGCACCAAATTTGGGCTGCAGTGAGGTTTCATCACCTGAGTGGTTTGCTGTTTAGCCAAAAAACTGTAGGAGATGTGAGGCATGAGTGGATGCATTGTTGTGATGAAGCTGTCAATCACCAGGTGTCCATAGCTTGGCCTTCTGAATTTTGCATAGTTTCCACAGAGGAATGTTCAAGTTTAACACAAAATTTGATGCACGTTCATTTTTCTACTTGCTCAGGCATTTTGAGTGCGATGGCCACAGAGTACACATGCTCACTAAACAACATCTACTGCCCCCCCGACTAGTACAGTGAAGTTGTCATTGTTCATGCATGTGCATTCCAGTTCACTCTCCTTGGTTGCCAGGTTACATCAATATTGCACAAACCATTCTCATTTTATTAAAAATGCCTGGACTTTTCTAGTACAGATCTTATATACTGTCATTTGCAACAACACAGACCTTGAGAATATCATGTTAAGTCCAATAAGTCAGACAAAAATGTTAAGAACCATCTGATTTTACTTATATGTGGGATATAAAAATGCAGCAAATGGACAAACAAGAAAAACAAACAAACAAAAACTCATAGACACAGACAACAATATGGTGCTTACCAGAGGGCAGGGTGGTGAGAGAGGGAGTAAAGCATAGAGGGGGGCAAATATATGGTGATGGAAGAAGGTTTGACTGTTGGTGGTGGACACACAAGACAGTATGAAGATCATATATCATAGGAACGCACACTTGAAACCTATATAATCTTATTAACAAATGTAACCCCCAAAAATTTTTCAAAAAGACTAGACATTCTGATATTTTTTGAGAGTAAAAACATTAGACCGAAAGTAGAAAACTTTTTATTTGCTTAAGTCACTTTCTTAATTTCATGAACAGAAAAGCCTTGTCTCTACTCATGACAACTTTCTTCAAGGCATTTTTTACATCCTTGTTCCGAAGGCTGTAGATCAAGGGGTTCAGCATAGGAATGAGCACTGTATACAAGACAGAGGCCAACTTGTCTGTGTCAAGGGAATGGTTAGAGCTTGGCTGTAAGTACATAAAGATCAGGGTCCCATAGAATATGGTGACTGCCAGCATGTGGGAGCTACAAGTGGAGAAGGCTTTGCATCTTCCCTCAGCAGAGCGGATCCTCAGGATGGCAGAAATAATATACACATAGGAGACAAAAATAATCAGAACAGAGGAAAAGCATGTAATACCAGCACAGGCAAGGATCCATAGCTGTTTGGAACTAGTGTCTGAGTGAGTTAGCTTGAGGAGGGGCATGTCATCACAGTAGAAATGATTGATGACATTAGAGTGGCAATAGGAGAGATGAAAGGTGAGGACGGTATGAAATAGTGCCGTTAGGATGCTATAAGTATAGGGGACAGCCACAAGCTGAATGCAGACCCCTGGGGACATTACAACCATGTAGAAGAGAGGGTTACAAATGGCCACATATCTGTCATAGGCCATGGAAGCAAGTAGCAAGCATTCAACTTGTCATGAATGCCAGGAAACAGCCTAACTGAGCAGTACAGGCATTGAAGGAGATAACATTTAGTTTGTACAAGAAATTCCCAAGCATTTTGCATGTAATGGCAGAAGTATAACAAAAATCGACAAAAGCCAGGTTGCTAAGGAAGAAATACATTGGTGTGTTGAGTCTTGTATCTGTTCTAATGACAAGGATCAAACCCAGGTTGCCTACTACTGTGAAGAGGTAGAAAGATAAGAAAACCATAAAGAGAGGCATCTTCAAGTCCTAACGATCTGTGAGGCCCATGAGAATGAACTCCTTAACCTGAGTGCAATTAATCTGGGCCATGGATTTCATTGTGTCTGGATGGAGAGAGGAGAATCCATATTAATTAAATTAACCTTTCAACCTTAATAATGTTTTTAAACCTTAGCATACTGAAGATCAATTGTATTACTAATGTGAAAATACTAGTATTAAAATGATTAGTACAATACTTGGACTCTGGGATGAGACAAAGTGAAAAAGTAGATATTTTAGAGGAAAGACTTATTTCTTTCACCCACATCAACTGCATTTATAAAGTTGAGCTGTATGGTAAGATTTAGTCCAGACTGGCTCTCTTTTCCAAGCTCTTGAGTATTACATTATTTAAAATTTAATATTAATTAATCAAAACTTGGAAACTATGATTGGTATTTTAAGAGTCTTAACATTAACAACACACACAAAAAAGGAATCTTCTGCAGTGACATTGCTCTGACAAACCCGTCACTGTGCCCGTTTTATAAAGCCCACATTGCAGCCATGCTGACAGATGCAGAATGCTGTCTGCTCTACACTCATTCCTTACTGTGGAGAGCTCACCGATTTTGGTTGCTACACAATCCTCTTAATTGTGTGTATAAAGCAAATACTCAAAATGGATAACTTTATGAAAAACGCAGTAACATGTTTCACAGGTGTTTCTTTATTTTCTGGCTTACTATGTCAGTTTTACAGATGAGGGAGAGCTGTCTCTGAGAGGATAAGTCCTGGAGTGAGCTCAGACAGGGAGTCGCTGGCACAGCTGGAGTTCAACCTTGTGTATTTCTGATGCAGGAGCTCACCCACCACTATATTCTCAACATGCCCAGTTTATTCTGTCCCCTCATGCCTCAGTTTCTCCAAATGCTTCTTGTTATACTATTTCATGGACAGCTTTATGTGTAAAGCAGCATCTCTCCTGACCAAAAGCAATGAAGATCCTCAGCACGTTTTAAAAACATCTGCTTAGTTGAAATAAAAGTGGTATCTCCTTTCTAATAGATTTATATAGATATATATGAATTCTACCACTTGGTAGTGCATTTATAAACATAGTTTTGCCTTACATTTTATGTTAATTTTTATTTCTAGACTATATTAATTTAAATGAAATCTCTTTATATTCTTTACATGTATTTTGGGCTGTTGTTCATAAATGGAATATGACCATTAATGTAAACTTTGGTTTAGGACAGGGTAATAATACATAAGAAATAAAGATTCCATTACTAAATTCATAATGTCATTGTCACCTTTCTCTTTATCCTATAAAAATTAAATACACATTTGCAGAAACTAATAATAACTTGCTTTGTACACAATGGACATGACTTGGTATATAGGAGAGGTAATGAACTAATATTCCCTGTCTTTTCAATGACTAATGGCCTTTATGTGCAGCATCTCTTGCTCAGGTGATCTCAGAAAGTTCTCATGCAACCTGTTATATGAGAGAAAAGATTTTTTAAATCATATATATGATAAGGGTTTGATATCCACCAAAATATGTAAAGAACTCATACAACTCAATAGCAAAAGAAAAAGCATCTAAATAATTCAATTAAAAATGGGCAGAAGATCCAAATGCTAGACATTTTTCCAAAGAAAACATGCAGATGGCTAATAGGCACATGAAAAGATGCTCAACCTCACTAGTCATCCGGGAAATGCAAATCAAAGCCACAATGAGCTATCTCCTCACACCTGTTAGAAGAGCTATTATCAAAAAGAGAAGAAATAACAAGGGTTGGCAAGAATGTAGAGAAAAGAGAACATGTGCACTACTGATGGAATGTAAATTGCTATAAGCACTAAAGAAAACAGTATGGAGTTTCCTCAAACAAGTGGAGAACATAACTACCATATGATCCGGCAGTTCCACTTTTGAGCATTTATCTGAAGACAATGAATACACTAATATTGATCATTGCTGCCAATTACCATCATGCAATAGGTAGGACATTAAAGATTTTAAAAGCTTAAACTGTGATCCCACAAATACTTAAAATTCATTTAGAAACAAACAAGTAACTGCTTGACTGGAAGTTTGGTTTCCAAGTCCCAAGATCACAGGAAAGGCTTCCCTGCTTGGCAGCTCTAAGACCTTCAGCGAGTCATCTCCCCTGATCTCGAGGCACATGTGTGCAAATAACTTGAAAGCCCATTGTATTCATCCTTTTACCATCCAACCCAGATATTTATTTTTAAAAATTATAAAATATTGAATATAATTTTTGTATTTAAATTATACTCATATCTCTTCTCATCTGCCACAACCAACATTCAGTAATCTAATCAGAACAATTGTTTTGCAGTCTCTAATTACTACATGCCCTTAGAAGTTTCCCTACTTTCATAAATGCTTATTTCTATTCTCATCTCTACCAGGTATATGGAGAATGAAGAGTTGAAGGGAAAACAAATTATTCTTCAAGGCCTACCAAAATCCCAGCTCTCCTATAAAAACCTCCCTCATTTATAATTCCCAGGCTGTAATATCTAACAGTTTTCCTCTTTGTGCTCAAGGAATGTTTTACACATAACTCATTTCCATAACATTTCATACGTATAGCAGCCATCTGTTTCCACATTTCTTCTCTTTATAGAATGTAGACTTCATGGGGAGAAGCCATGACTTTTCAAACATTTCCTAATATAGCCCCTTGTAGATACTTGGTAATGGAGAGTTAAAGATTAATTGTTGTAATAATCTTTTAATATTCATCCCCCTAACTCATAATTAATGTCCTTTATATATGTTCAGCGTATTAAGGGACATATTGATGATTTGGTTTCAATATTTTCTCTTTTCATCATAGGTAAAATTATTAGCTTTTGCAAAAATAAGAAGAGCTTTGGTATAGATTACAGTCTAGTGAACTTGGTGCCTAACTTATCCAAACAGTATAATAAATTCTATCTTGGAGAGCTCAAGTCTCATTTTCATTTCAAACTAATAAGAGCTATATTTTATGTAATATCATATATACAGAAATAACATTAGAAAGAATACTCCTTACCCTATTTTCAGAAAATATGCCTTCAAAGTGTTTTATTAAAAATATTCTGTTCTAATTTTTTTCAAAAATACCTAACTTGATTCCAAATTTAAAATACAGTCTATGAATCTACCTGAGTAATTGGCATTCCTACTTCTTCTCCAAATGGGTTTTGGCAGCAACAGACTGCTAGGTTTTGTCAGAGACTCTATCTCCAGGGATCACACTTAAGAGTTTGATGCAAGTAAAATCATCAGAAAAATTACAGTGCACAACCCACAGGGATCCCAAGGCAGGCTGGGGACCAATTAACATTGTCTCTGGTTTTGAGGAACAGTACAGGTACAGCTTCCCCTTTAGAATGAGATTATCGCCCCAGTAATTTTTAGGAAACAATTGTTTAGGGCAGGCTTTCTCAACCTTGGCACTGCAACTGTTTTGGGCTGGATAAGTTTTTGTGTGAGAGGCTTTCCTGCACCCGGTAGGTCAAGTAGCAACACTCCAGCCTCAACCCTCTAGAGATCAAAAGTTGTCCTTTATACGCCTTGTCATGATGAATATCAGTACTGTTTTCAGACATTGCCCAGTGTCCCCTGGGGGAAGAATCACTCCTGGTTGACACCATTAGTTTGGAGTGGTCCCTTGGCATTTAATTTGAAATATATTATCAAAGCATTCATAAATATATTATTTAAATACTCTTAAAAGCCTAAACTTGGTATTCCAAGAGCCTTCACTTTGTCTATTCTTGTCCAGCAACTAGTTATGTAACTAACAGATGAGATCATGAAATTTTAATATGTAATTTTCTTTTACTTGAGCAATAACACAATGTAAATTCTTGTGATACTTGCTACACATAAATTATTATTTTAAGCCAAACTGGCTTACAAAGAATTTGGAGAATGAGTTCAGTTTGCAGAGAATAAATCTTTACTGAGAACCAACTGAAGATAAGACACTCTGCTAGTTTGATTACTAAAAAAGAAAACAGATCATAAAGGACAAGACACTTCCGTATAGTCAAATAACTTTTTAAACTTCAGGAACACAGAAGCCTGGTTTCTTTCTACTGATGGTGACTTTTTTCAGGGCGTTTTTTACATCCTTGTTCCGAAGGCTGTAGATCAAGGGGTTCAGCATAGGAATGATCACTGTGTAGAAGACAGAGGCCATCTTATCTGTGTCAAGGGAATGGTTAGAGCTTGGCTGTAAGTACATAAAGATCAGGGTCCCATAGAATATGGTGACTGCCAGCATGTGGGAGCCACATGTGGAGAAAGCCTTGCGCCTGCCCTCAGCAGAGCGGATCCTCAGGATGGCAGAAATAATATACACATAGGAGACAAAGACAATTAGAACAGAGGAAATGAATGTAATACCAGCACAGGCAAAGATCCATAGCTGTTTGGAATGAGTGTCTGAGCAAGTTAGCCTGAGGAGGGGCATGTCATCACAGTAGAAATGATTGATGACATTAGAGTGGCAGTAGGAGAGACGAAAGGTGAGGATGGTATGAAATAGTGCCATTAAGAAGCTATAGCTATAGGGGACAGCCACAAGCTGAATGCAGATCCCTGGGGACATTACAACCATGTAGAGGAGAGGGTTACAGATGGCCACATATCTGTCATAGGCCATGGAAGCAAGTAGCAAACACTCAGATACCATGAAAGTGAGGAAACAGCCTAATTGAATAGCACACTCATTGAATGAAATTGTATTTTGTTTGTACAAGAAGTTGCCAAGCATTTTGGGTGTAATGACTGATGCATAACAAAAATCGACAAAAGCCAGGTTGCTAAGGAAGAAATACATTGGTGTGTTGAGTCTTGCATCTGTTCTTATGATTAAAATTAAACCCAGGTTGCCTACTGCTGTGAAGAGGTAGATAGTTAAAAAAACCACAAAGAGAGGCATCTTCAACTCCTTTTGGTTTGTGAGGCCCGTGAGAATGAACTCCTTTACTTGGGTGCAGTTGGTCTGTGTCATATCTCCTTAAGGTATCTACATGAGGAAGTAGAGAAAAGAGGGAAATTCAAGTTGCCATTGCCATACATGGTGTTTTTATATTTTAACACTTTGTAGAGATTTTGTTGCTAACAGAGAGTGGTATCAGACTGGTATTCTGGGCACAGGATGGAGAGCAGACAGAGATGTGTGTGGGGCAGGCACACCTCTCTTCTCCCAAATCCATTGTGTGTGCAAAGGTGGTTGCTGTAGAACAGTCCCCATTGCCTTGGCTTCTATTCAAAGGTCTTATTCAGTGAAGTATTTAAAACTATAAGCTGCCTTGTTAAAATGCGTAAGCTTTTGTTTTACTAAAACATGTTAACAGACATAGCACAAAGGAAGGCAAATCTGCAGTGGCATCATTTTGCCAGATGCCATTGTACCTGTGCAGACAGAATTCCACATGTCCTAATGCTATTAGGAACACTTATTCTGTATGCTCTTTTGTGCTCTACTATGTTCTGTTCTGTTTTATTTATGTCAAATAGTACTCAAATAGATTTTTAAAAAATGAATTCACGATTTACTAGTAGTTACACAGTTTCAAAAGCTATACTTTTCCCACAGAACACCATCACCATTTCCACCAATACAAGTAGATAAGGAATTGACTTATAAGTAGCTCCAGGAGAGATGCCCCACTTGATCTGCATGTTCTGTCCTTGACATTTGTCTTGTTTATGCCTAATTGCTGCCTCCTTAGGAGCCTATTTCAAATTATTCATTTTCTTATCAAGTAATATGTATTAGAACTGTTAATTTCCAGACACTAGAGTCTGAAGATAGAGCCCTGAAAAAGCAGACCATAGACTAAGCTGGAAAGAAAGAAAGCTTTATTCAAATTTTCTATATTTTTCTCATTTGTTTTTCTCTCATTTGTCTTTTCTACTTCCACAACAAGAATCTCTGACATTGATACACACTAACCATTTTGATTTATAATAAATAAAGCATGAGTTACATTTGAAGGCATGTGGGACTTTTCACAGTCTTGTCCCTGAACAATTTTATAACCCCAACTCCACGCCACTCTTCTGACATTAGAGGACTTCCACTGGTACAATTAATGTAACTGGTCTCCATTTGCTGATAACAACATCCCCTTCTATGCTTCTCTAATTTTGTCCTCACCATTCCTAGTCCCTTTCCCTCTCAAAAAACATAGTTGAAGTGAGAATTCTGTCTATCTTTTAAGGCCTGCTGCAATATCACTTCTTCTTTAAAGAACTACTTCCCATGCTGAGTTACCATAGCTTATATTTGTGTTCTAGAATCACTGTAGACATACTTCACTTATATTTCTCCTCAGATTTATAACAACCACCAGTTTCCATATTGCTTCCCTGGATAGATGTTAAACACTTTATGATTGAGGGTCAGGCTGCTTTATTTATTCATTTACTTACTTACTTACTAACTATTGTGGTCTCTTCCAAATGTTAGGTAATATAGAATAAAAGATTAATTTAAGATTAAGATTGATATTATGATAATTATATTTAAATATTTTTTCCTCATTTTTAGGTCATATTCTTTACTTTGTGAAATATCCGTAGGAACACAGTGATGACCTTTGTCTAACACAGTTGCCACTAATTCTGAGTAAAAACTCTACCTATTATCAATCTAGAAAGCATGGTTTGACATAGTTTCTAATTTGGTCAGTCATATGCCAAACTTCCTTAGAGATTCTAAACCGGAATTTTTATTTCGTGTAATCTAAGTATATATATGTATATATTTAGATTTATATACATTTATAGCTAACATATATGAGAAACATAAGTCAATACCTCATTTGCAATTTTGTATGCATTGAATAGAAAATTGAGACAGACTCACACATAGATGGAGGGCAGAATGACAGCTAGTGGGGTGGTTAGTGGCTGGAAGGACTAAGCAAAAAGGAAGAAAGACTCATGGACATGGACAATAGTGTGATGATTGCTGGGTGGAGGGGGTATAAGAGTACTAAATGGTAATGGAGAGAACACAATAAAGATGAAATATTTAAAATAGAATCTTGATGGACTATTTCTTATGTATTAAATATTTTTCTGGGTTTTGAGGTGACAACAAATAATGGTCAGAATTCAGCCCCCCAGAAGCTTACAGTGCAAAGAGAAAAAGATAGCAATCAAACAGGTTGAGACTAGTGAGCTCCAAAATCTGATGGGGTTAAGTGCTGGATACAGAGGGAATGTCTGAAGGGAGGCCCTGTAACTTGAAGACTTTGAGGAGAGATGTGCTAGAGATAATGTTTCCCTGGGAAAACATTATTGAAAGCACTAGGGAAATAATTAAAGCAAAAAAAATTTCCAATAGAGAACATGCAAAAAATGGAATTATGTACATGTATAATTTCTATAAATCCTAAATATATGAATACAATAATGTATTTATTCAACCTTAAGTTCTAGACCTGGTTCTGACTTTAATTAACTACACGTGAACTTGGGAAAATCACTAGAATGTATTGAAACTCAACTTAGCTACATATGTAAAAAGTGATTTGAGGAGATTAACTGTTCACTTTGTTTCAGTTTTAAACCTAGATGATACTTTCATTAAGACAAATATAAAATCAGAGAAAACACTTTTTATCTTTAACTTGCAAAATGTACTTCAAACTTGTTTATCCTAGTCCATTGTATTTAACCTTTAATTTTTAAATTTTCATCTTCAGCTACTGTAGCAATGTTGTTACACGTCTGTGAGTGAAAGCCACCATTTAAAAATATACTCATGAACCTACCTGGATAGAGGGTGCTCCTGTTTCTCCTCATAATGGAGCTGGTTAGCAGATGACTCCATGGTTTTGTCGATGTCTCTGTCCCAAAGGATCTTACCTCAAAGCATGATGCAAGCAGCATCATCAGGAAAAGTACAGGCCCAGCTCCACTGGGATGCGGAGGAAAGCTGAAGCTTTATTCATCTCACTCCTCGTTTTTGAAGAACTTTGTATCTATGGCTCTGCCTGGAGTATCACTATTGCTCTAAGATTCTCCTAACTCTTAAAATATCGTAATTATTTTTAAAAGTATTTTTGTTGTAGATTATCAATGTCAGTCTTCAGATTTTGCTTTTAAAAGCAGATAAGACTTTAGAAAATTTTTGACAGATAGCTTTCTGTGAAATGTGTATCTAATTTCTCCAAGGGCTGCCCCTCCATGCTGCGTGCACTAGACATTTGGTAAATAAAGGTTTCGTGCATTAACTGGCAGCCTACTCACTCCAAACTAGATGATGAATAAGAAATATATTGTCAAATTAGTGTGTTGGGAAAAAATGGGTGGATTTTATATACTGATTATAAATTTAAAATTTGTCCTTACTTTTCATTTAAAGAAATCTTTCATTATAAAACTGGTTACAATCTGAGGAAGAGAGGGATAGAATCTTACATTTTCTTTCACAGTATATTAACAGGACACTTTGATTAAAAGAGAAAATATAGAAAATGCTTAGAAATCACAACCTAGATCAATTGTACAAGTAATGATCAAGATAAGAATATATATGTTTAAACTCTATGTTCCAGATGATAACTCTTTAATAAATATACCATTTTCTATCCCCCCTCTCCTAGTCTGTCCACCTGGGAAACATATCTGGTACAATTGGCTAAATGTCTATTCTGTTTGTGTCTTGTAATAAAATGCTGTGATTTGGTATTGGATGCTTGATCATTATATATAGTACAATATTAAAAGCAGAAAACAATAAAAAAGTCTGAGAAACCTTAGTCTTGTCTCTGGACAAGCTCTTTGAGCCTACATATAATTAAGGGAAAACTCTTATCTTACTGGTAAATTAGAGATTTTTTTTATGCTTAGGAAATGATTATGACAATAGAAAAATGCAATCTTGGGAACCTCAAATCTGTCCATGAACTTTATTTCAGTACAGATGACATCAAATTTCATATAACACATCACTTTCAGAATTTGTTTTTTCATGGAAGCATTATTAAAGATCTGTTTACCATCTTTTTAGTTCCGCCTTCTGCGTGTCATATAAATATAGTATTTTTAGGCTGGTTTCTTTTGTTTAGCAATGTACACTTAATTTTTTAAAATTTAACCTTCATTGTGTTTTTCCATTACCATTAAGTCCCTTTATAATCCCTCCCCCCAGTATCATCACACTGTTGTCCATGTCCATGAGCCCTTTTCCCTATTTACTCAATCCCTCCACCCCTAGCCACCTTCCCCTCTAGCTGTCATCTGCTGTCCATCTGTGAGTCTGTCTCTGTTTGCTTGTTAGTTCAGTTTCTTTAGTAGATTCCACATATGAGTGAAATCATTTTCATTATTTTAATTAAGTCTTTTCACATAAATTAATTTATGAATCAGAATGAAATATTTGTTTCAAAACTTGTCATAGTAGGTAATGCAAAACTTTTGATTTTTAGCTTTTCTTACCTTCTTGTTTTAGAAAATGTGATGAAAGGCAAGGAACTACATTCAAGATTGCTCTATCCAGGAAAGCTTTCATTTAGAACGGAAGGGCAGATAAAGTTCCTCTCAGATAATATCAAATTGAAGGAGTTCATCATCACCAAGCCCTTATTATATGAAATGTTAAAGGAACTTATCTAAGAAAAAGACGATAAAAAAGACGAACGGTGAAAGGACAGCAAACTCACAGTTATTAACAACCACACCTAAGTAAACTAAGAGGAGAGCTAGATCAGGAGCAGAACCATAGAAATGAAGATCTCATGGAGGGTTAGCAACAGGGGAGTGGGAGAAGGAGAATGGAGGAGAAGTTACAGAAAATAAGTAGCATAGATGGCAGGTATAAAATAGATAGGGGGGAGGGCAAGAATAGTATGGGAAACATAGAATCTAAAGAATTCGAGACAAGTGGTTATAAACTAAAGGGGGGGGAATGGTTGGGGAGGGGGTGTGCAGGGTGGAGGGGAATGAAGGGGAAAAATAGAAGAACTGTAATGGCATAATCAATAAAATATATTTAAAAAATGCAATGACATTTAACTCCAGTTTAGAAATTGTTTCCGTTTTGCTTTTTTGTGGGTCATGATCTTTCTTTTCTACTGAATTTATTGAGGCGACATTGGTTAATAAAATTATGTAGGTTTCAGGTGTACAATTCTATAAAACATAATCTGTACATTGTATTGTATGTTCATCACCCCAGGTCAAGTCTTCTTCTATCGTATTCCCCCTATACTCTCTTCTACCTGCTCCCACCTCCCTTGGGCGTCATAATCTTACTCCTGTTTTATACTTGATATCTTTGTAGTTTGTCTCTGCCATCATAAGTAGGTAACAATAAATGATGTCAGTCCCTACTGAATATGAGAAACAACTAAGCTTTTAGAGCAGTTTTATGAGTCTGGTATGTTGGTCTCTGATTTTTTTTTTGCCTCCCTCTATAGTTAATATGCTCAAGTCACAATTCAGAAACACTACACAGTCTTCTTGTGCCATATTGTTTATCATTGTAAGATGACATTCCAGTATTGTATTTCTGATAATCTGTGGTCCTTAAGAGACATTTAGGCTATGCATACACATAATGTATGTTATACAGGCTATGAAGACACAGAACGCAGGGCACAAGGGCACCAAAATGTCTTCATGCTTTCCACCTGTTCTCCACCTCATTCTCTCATTGACATTGGACCTTTCCATCCTGGATGCCAGTTTTTGCATCTGCCATCATGTTGCTAGGCATAAAACAATATCACTTTTGATTGCCAGTATAAGAAGATTTGCTTTCTCTCATTTCCTTTAAAATAGTAATTTTTAAACAAGATTGCCCTTTTTATGTAAAATGTAATACTAAGGTCTATACAATTATAGATTAGTAAATTCATTGTTCGGCATCTATTTACTCTAGACATTGTCTTTTAAAAAAATATGACAAGTAATTGCTGAAATCCAAGTAGTCTGATCCACAGTCAGAGGAGGTTTAAACAAGTAAGATTTGTGAGTACTTACTTAATGGTTTTATGAAGAAACTTTTGAGGAGTAGAAAAGATATTTAGAATATGCTTATAAATAAAGTAGCACTCATAGCATTGTTAGTTTGTACATGATCTTCTAATGGACTTAATCCACTTTATCATTAAGCACTGAGCATTTATCATTCTCTCTATACTCAAGGATCCGAATAAAATACAATATTTTCTAGGATAGTCTTCATGCATCAGGCACATGGCTTATCTAGAGCTCTACATATTTTTGGTAAATTAATTTGAAGAAGGATTATTGTTCTTCTTTACTGGAAGTGCTCAGCATGGTTAAGTGCACTATACGAATAATAGTACTCCATTGATTTATGATCACATTGGTTGACTCAATTCTGATATGGTAAGTCTGAAATATAGTCTTTTCACATCTTTATAATCCAAGTTGTAGAACACATTTTAGGGTACAGTGACTGATCAAAAGTACCAGAAAACAGAACAAAAATTTAACTGAAACAATTAAATTTTCCCTCTAATGACATAAGGAATTTCGACAAACATGGTCCATTGAATATGTAATAATATCACAATGCAGTACATTTCATACTTAAAAAGAAAAACTTTTTAGAATTTATATACAAAGTTTATCAAATAGTACACAGAATGAGGCATATTAAATGATGATAATTGTGTGTCTTTCATTAAACAGTTGTATAAATTATATGAATTAGAATAAAATCATTTCAAGCATGTATTAGCACATAGAATATGAACTCACTAGTATTGTATATTTTTTCATTGAAATGATATTAAGGAAGAGTTAGGGAGTTTTATTTTAAATAAACTATCACTTTAAGTTTGCTGACTTAGCTGTAAGAAGGTTTTTAGTCACCTACAATTATGATTCTGTAGGATAAAATGATCCATTGTACCAGAACATGTCCAAAAGTAAAAAAGAAGTAAAAGACTAAGAAAGTTCGACTTACTTCTCTCATCTATATATTATTGCTTAGTTTTAACTTATTTAATTGTTTATTAACTTAGATTCTCCTAACTCCTAAAAATACTTCTTTCAATCCAGCTACCTGCATACTCCTTAACAAAGTTACTTAGTACGCAGTTACTAAGTAAAGTTACTTAGTAACTTTGTATTTCTGTGTGTTTCTCAGTGTATATTTCTGTATATTGCTAAGTGTATATTTCTGTATATTTCTAAACTACCAGACATTTAGTTTATTTTTGAATTCCAAATCCTAGCCTGTTTTAATTTCCAGGATTACTTGAAAACCTGTAAGTCATCCCCCGACCTTTGTTTTCTCTGACACAGTGGCAGCCTATCTTACCCATCTCTCCATTTCCTTACAGGGTTCTGAAGTTACATTGATTTAATAGAACATACATTGGTCAGAAATCTCTTCAAGGCAGCCTTCACATCTTTGTTCCTCAGGCTATAGATCATGGGATTCAGCATGGGGATCACAAGTGTGTAAAACACAGAAGCCATTTTATCTGTGTCCAATGAATGGCTACTTCGAGGCTGCAAATACATGAATAATAGTGTCCCATAAAAAACTATGACTGCTGTCATATGTGAAGCACATGTGGAAAAGGCTTTTTTCCTTCCTTCTGATGAATGTATTCTTAAAATAGATAGAACAATGTTGAAATAAGATACTAGAACTATGGTCATAGAACAAACCAAGTTTATAGCTGCAGATACAAAAATGACCATTTCTGGAAAGGAAGTATCAGAGCAGGACAGTGCTAACAGAGGGACAGTGTCACAGTAGAAATGGTTGACTACATTGGAAGAGCAGTAAGACACAGAGAACACAGAAGATGATGTCACAACAGCTGTGGAAAAGCTGTAGAGGTAAGTGAGGGACACGAGCAGAAGGCAGACCTGGCGAGATAAAACCACCATGTAGAGCAGGGGGTTACAAATGGCCACATACCGGTCATAGGCCATGACAGCCAACATGGAAACCTCAGCTACAATGAAAACCAAAAACCCTCCCAGTTGGGCTGCACATTCATAGTATGAGATGGTTTTCTTTGTTACTAAAAAATTGATCAGCATTTTAGGGGCAATGACAGTAGAGTTGCCAAGATTGACCACAGCCAAGTGCTGGAGGAAAAAGTACATGGGAGTCTGAAGTTGAGAGTCGACACTGGTGAGGGTGATGATGCCCAGGTTCTCTGCCATGGTCAGCCCATAGATGACCAGGAAAACAAAGAAGAGTGGGATCTGGAGCTCTGGGCTGTCTGAGACCCCTGTGAGAATAAACTCAGTGACCCAGGTGAAATTTTCAGGAGCCATGAAAAAGTTTAGATGTCATCTGTTTGGAGAAGAAAAGGAAAAGTGGTTAGAGAGTTTAAGGAACTATTTCCTGGCACTGTCTTTAAATGGCAGGGGCAATTCCTTGGGAGAGATTTCAGGAATCATGTATTATTCTAACTCAGTAATTAAACTCAATGTTCTAGGTCAAATACATAAGCTTTCCAATCATTTCAGAGAGAAAAAATGCAAGTATGGCAATTTAAACATATGATCCAGCATCATGAACTTTGAAGATTTACTTCTTTACCATCATATTAAATTATGACTATATTATTAGCTTGCAAACAAACATTTTATATTATGTCCCTTGCACTGAGTATGAGAAAAACTTGAGGAATTTTCCAGAAATGATGGAATATCTTCTTACAAGTTCTGTGTCAGAGACTCTTGCTTTCTTTTCAGGGTGGATGTTAGTCATTATTCTGTCCCATTTTCTTTATTATCTTCTGTAACTTCTATTAGCACAGTGAACTTGCATATTCTACCACCCACATTTGTTTACTGTTTTTACTCATTTTCTGTGTAATTAACTCAAACAGAAATACATAGAGGTGTGTCTACAGATTTATTTAACAGGTTATGATTATCTTTACAGTTTAAAATTTTTTCTCTGAAGATTCCATCCCTTCTGTGCTTTACTGGACACTCTTCCTTTTCCTTCTTGTCCCACAAGTTTATGCAAATCCTCATGCTTTTCACTGTTTTTAGTTTAACCAGTACTTTTATTTATATGATTTCATAATATTATTTTAAAATTCGGTAAGATACATCTAGCCTTAATTTTAGTTAATCTTTCTCTTAATATTTTTAACATATTTGTTATTTTTTATTGTTGTAATATTAGGAAATATTTATTTTAATGATCTGTGATAATTATATTACATGTATTTTCCCTCTAATCCACACACTATAATTATAATATGACTGAATATTCTTTCAGAGAATTTTGTATTAAGGATGTTAACCTGCTCCTAACGAAGCCAACTGGGGGTTTTCCCCATCACAATTGGACAAATGGGAAGCAGTTGGTCCAAAGAAGCCCTATGATTGTCTTTTATCTGCAGCTTTGAAGTTACAAAATCTAATGTTTAGCTAAATTTTACATATACTTACAGAAGTATATATAATTATAAAATAATAGCAAATAGTAATCATAATAATAATAAAGAAGACAAGAGACAAGTTTTGGGTGTGATGGATGTTTATTGTAGTGATGGTTTCTGTAATGCATATTTATCTTTAAATTTGTCAAATCATGTATTGTACATTAACTCCGTACAGCTTTTTATATCCAATCATACCTAAATAGTTTTTAAAATGACAATATGTCAAAAGTGGCTGAGCTGTATAAGCTCAGAGTTGTTGACATGCTCTCTCTCTATAAAAAATAAAATAAAAAATAGAAAACTGTTCTGTAATGATGCATAAAAATAATTAGAGAAATGAAACAAAAATAACATCTATGACTTCCACCAAGATGGAGGTGTAGGTGGAAGCACTGCACCTTCTCACACAACCAAGTTTAAAAACAAACCAAGTTTAAACCAAACAAACCAACTTTAAACCAAGTTTAAAGTTTTGGCAACAAAAACTCAGCCAAGCCACAGAAAATTGAACTACGTGGAAGTCTGACAACAAGGAACCCTTCAGCCAAACTGGTAAGAGGGGCAGAGCCAGTGGCAGAGCCAGTAGCAGAGCAGGGTCGGGCAGGAAAGATCCACCAGACCAACCCGGGCCCTTGACCCAGGTGCTCCAGCAGCCATGGGCGGATCCCAGGTGTGGAGAAGTGGGTGGACCCACTGAGGGCCCAAGGCGGTGGACTCACTGAAAGCTGACCAGAGTCACACATTCTAGCGCAGATAAACTGGTGAAGGAGCGACGCGGTGAGACAGATCTTGCAGGCCCCAGTGGAGGAAAGTGGCAGAGGGGACCGCCATTATCCCTCTCTGACTCGCCCCCACATACAGCATCACAAACCAGCGACCTGGGTGGCCCTGCCGTGGTAATCACCTCCTCGTCCATAAGAGGAACAAACAGATCAAAACATGGCTCAAGAACAACTCAGAGCCCCAGAGCCAATAAATCTAAGCGATGAAGAAATAGCTAAACTTTCAGATGCACAGTTCAAAACACTGGTGATCAGGATGCTCACAGAACTGGTTGATTTTAGTCACAAATTAGAGGAACATATGAAGGATAAACTAATTGAAATGAATGGAAATGCACAGGAAACCAATAGTAATGGAAAGGAAACTGGGACTCAAATCAAAGGAGTGGACCAGAAGGAGAAAAAAAATGACCTAACAGAAAAGGATGAAGAAACAAGAATTCAAAAAAATGGAACCTCCAGGACATCTTTAAACATTCCAACATTCAAATTATAGGGGTACCAGAAGGGGAAGAGGAACAGCCACGAATGGAAAACTTATTTGAACAAATAAGAAAGGAGAATTTCCCCAATCTGGCAAAGGAAATCGACTTCCAGGAAATCCAGGAATCTCAGAGAGTCCCAAAGAACTTGGACCCAAGAAGGAACACACCAAGGCACATCAGAATTATATTAGCCAAGATTAAAATGAAAGAGAGAATTCTAGAAGCAGCAAGAGATAAGGGGGCAGTCACCTACAAAGGAGTTCCCATTAGACTGTCAGCTGATTTCTCAAAAGAGACCTTACAGGCAAGAAGGGGCTGGAAAGAGGTATTCCAAGTCATGAAATCCAAAGACTTACATCCAAGATTGATCTATCCAGCAAAGCTTTCATTTAGAATGGAAGGACAGATCAAGTGCTTCTCAGATAAGGTCACATTCAAGGAATTCATCATCACCAAGCCCTTATTATAGGAAATGTTAAAGGGACTTACCTAAGAAAAAGAAGATAAAAAAGATAAACAGTGAAAAGACAGCCAACTCAGTTATTAAGAACCACACCTAAAACAAATAGCAAACTAAGAGGACAGCTAGATCAGGAGCAGAACCATAGAAATGAAGATCACCTGGAGGGTTAGCAACAGGGGAGGGGGAAAATGAGAAGGGGGGAGAAGGTACAAAAAATAAGTAGGATAGAAGGTAGGAAGAAAATAGATAGGGGGGAGGGCAAGAATAGCATGGGAAATATAGAATCTAAAGAACTTGAGACATGTGGTCATAAACTAAAGGGGGGGAATGGTGGGAGAGGGGGGTCTGCAGGGTGTAGGGGAATGAAGGGGGAAATAGAACTGTAATGGCATAATCAATAAAATATATTTAAAAAATAAAATAAAAAGAAAGTTACCAGATTAAAAAATAACATCTAATAGATTATTAGTACTTGTTTGTTGTGTTTGTTTAATATCTGTTTGCTTCTGACACCAAATATAAGTCCTCCCTTGATTTCTTTAATTTACTTATTTATTTACTTATTTTTCACCAAGTATTTGCTGATGTCTTATGTGTACCAGGAAATGTTCAAACTTCAGATAAATTACTTGTTTCTCACATCATGGACTTTCTATGTCAATAATAAGGAAGAGACAGAAGGTTGACAAAGAAACATATAAACAAGATCATTGCAGAGTATAGTAAGTGTCATAAGTAATTAAACAAGAAGATGCATCAGAGCAACCTGGAAGAATTATTTCACAAGGGGTGTTATGGGAAAGAAACTCTGAGAGGGTGACATGTGAGTGAAACATAACACATGTGATGAAACCCACTATTAAAAAAATTACAGGAAGACTATTCCAGGATTCCAGGCGGGAGTCCTGTTCAAGGAGAGAAAATAACTCAGGTTTTTGTTATTTGTTTTTGAGGGGAAACCTAATGGAAGCCAGGGTGACTGGATAATAATGAGTAGGTAGAGCATCAGTCAAATCAAATAATGTAGATTACAACATCTGGATTGTATTCTAAGTGAATTGTAAGCCACTGAGAAATTTTAAGGTAGATGAATAACAACTTTTTGCTGTAACAATGACAATAAATGATAGAATTGGAAAGGGGTAGGAGTTATTAGTGGAACTTTTTAAAAAATGAGTTAAGCAATTCTATGATTTTTGGTGAACGTTAATGCTGATTGGGACAAAGTGGAGAATCTGGATGTAGATGCAAATTTAACAGTTGGGAGCAGAAACAAGATGCAATCCCTACCCTAATGTACAGTATGAATTGTGTAAAATAGGTATTAGGGAACAATAGGTTGGGGGAATCAGCCAAGGAAGAGTTCTGGGATTTTTCCTTTCTGCAATTGGGCTAGTAGCCATGAAATTTTCTTTTTTGGCATTTTAGAGCATATGGTTTAAAATGAAGTGATCAAAGTGATAATTTGAACATGGTAAGCTTCAGGTGCTGGTGAGTCATTTACACAATCATCTGAACAAGCTGATACTGAAGTCCAGAGCATGTTGTGTGGTCAGGCTTGTGGATACTTAGGAAACATCAACCTAGATAATGTTCCCATATTTTCCCACTTATGTCCAGATTCTTGTTGCAAAATTTGTAACAAAAATTCCTAGGACATTCCTCAATCAATCTTTGTGGAGATAACACTGTTTTGAGAGTCTAGCTTTCCTTTTATCCCCAAACACCACACTGCAGGGTGTTGTGTCTGTGTCCCCTCTCATGCTTTTTCTTCTAGTTTCAATTACAGTTGACTTCCAATATTATTTTGTATTGGTTTCAGGTGTAGGGCTTAGTGGTTAGACAATCATACACTTTCCATGGGGTTTTCCCTCACTATTTCCAGTACCCAATCAATCTATCTTGCATTCTCTGTGTTTACAATTGTTAGTATTTTCTCTGTAGGTTTCATTCTCTTCATTGTCTTGCTTAGCAAACATATCAAGTATCAGCTAACATGAATGCTTCTGAATTATATCAAGTTCTTTATTTCTGCTAATGTCTAGTGTTTTCCTGATTATATATTTCATTTTATTTCTTAAAAGATTTTATTTACTTATTTTTAGAGAAAAGGGAATGGAGAGAGAGAGGGAGAGAAACGTTG